CAGTTACACAACAGCGAGCTCGGCCCTTCGCTTACCTGTAGTCAGTGGCATCTACTGACAAACCTCGCGTCATGAGTCGTCACAGGCGGTTGATTCTCTGCCTCCCAGCTCCTGCGCTGCGCTGAATCGCAAGGCACCGCCCCTCTGAGTACCATGCCACCACTCCCTCTTTCACCGTCACTATTCATAGCCTCTCTGTCACTCTGTCACTCCGAGTGTCACACAATGAGAGAAGCCGAAAAAAATTGTTGAGACCATGACCGATGGTCCGTCCCCTTCGCTGGCTCGTCTCTGACTGTCCTATATCCCGCGCTCCCCTCGTGCCTCCCGCCCCAGCCCGCCCGCTCCGCTTATCTCTCTCCCTCCCACCCTCCCTCCCTCTCCCTCGCTCTCTCCGGCATCTGTCTGCCCTCGCCCAACGCCTCTTAGCCGGGGGGCCGCTAAGTTGCCATTATACGTTTTGTATGGGGAAGTAAATAATGAAATAATTGAAGGCAAAATTTTAATGTTTGTTTTTAGTAACACGTCAAGCTCAAATAAAATTTAATTGATTCACGACTGCATTGATGCTACTGTTTCTGGAAGCCGTGTCACGCCTATGTTGGTCAGTCCGTTCTCCCTGCGCTCTCCCCCCCCCCCCCCCCCAAGCGCTCATATTTCTAATGTCTTAGCATGTCAGCGCGTCGTTGCCGATGCGTGGGCCAACAACAGCAGAGGAGAGAGGAGGGCGTGGCCCGGCCGCACGCAGCTGCGCGCTGAGACCCGCACCGTTGGCAGCGGGCCAGTGTTGTGGCAGGCCTGACCTTCGCTCGTGGCACTGTGCGTACGGCGCTCACCGCTCGCTGGAGCGACCCCGCCCCTCTGCCGCCTCAGGGTGAACCACTCTCCCTTGACGCAGCACGTGCCTCCACCCAAACGCACATGATTGGTCTTGTGACGTCAGTGATGACGCACGAAGGCACGTTTTTAATTAGTGCGGTGTCAGAATGGTAAACAGCCAGAGGTAAAAGTAGGAGCACAGTTCTTGGAGTTCTCTGTTAGTGAATTACGGGGATAGCTATTCCCGGATGGATACTGGCTATTCAAAGATTATTTCATTTGAACGGAACAGAAGAAGCCCTGCCCTGGAGAATAGTGTTTAATTCTGCCAGCAGAGACAGGTAATTTGTTTTGAAAGGAGCTTCTTTCTTGGAGTATCCGATTACCTGTAGCATCAGGCTACTCCCGAATTAATTGGCTCTCCTATCTCTGTGCCTGACAGTATCCGTTGGGAATCTGAGAAGGTTGTTACCCTGGCCTAGCCTGATGCCGTGTTTTCAAGTTCTTTATCCCTCTCCTCCCCTCTCAGCCGGTCCGAACCTCTGCTGTGTGCAGGATGAACCTCAAGCACCCAAAATATGCACAGCTGATGCACGCTGCAGGGAGGTCATCTGAGCCGGACCTTGACTTCATCCCGCCCAACTGCTTGTCACTTTCCTCGCGGTAGCGGCGGCCTCTTCTGCCCAGCCTCCGCGGCGCCGTGCGTTTGGCTTCATCCGGATTTAGCCGGCTAGAGGTGAACTGGGGAGGGGTGACCTCGCGACCATAAATGGACCGATGGTGTGGAACGTGCGTCGGCTGCGTGAGAGGAGCTGGCGCCGTAAACTGAGTCACACGCACGGCTGACCCTCCCTCTGACCCTGCGAGACAGCACCTGGCTGGAGACTGTGGCTTTTGTGTCGTTTGTCCCTATCACGAGACGAGATGAAAGGAGAGAAGAGGAGAAGTGAAGGGAGGTGAGGAAATGAGAGGAGATAAGAGGAGGCAACAGAAAACGAATCGAAGAAGGAATAATGGGATGGACAGACCTTTGTGGTTTTATTAGGATGTCACGGAAGCAGGAAGCGATTGGGTCTATAATTTACCGTGTTGTAGCGGGTTCGGTTGAGAAAGGACCAAGGTCGGTATCTCCCAACAGCGTTCCACCGCGGACCTTCCAGGCCCAAGGCTGTTTCCAACTGGACAGCGGACATGGCAGGTGTTTATTATCCCTGTCCCGGCATTTCCCTGTGTCTGGTTTGTAACGGGGGCAGCTGAGAGGCTGTTGTGTCAGTCATGTTCCACCCTGGGTGGGTTGTCAGTTCGCAGCTGCCATGATGTGACTTGCAGCCTCAGCAGAAACAGTTTTTGGAGATCGGCAGCTCGGGATCTGTTTTTTGGGGGGAAACACTCAGATCTACATTATCACGCCATTATCACGCCATTATTATGTCTCGCGATGCTCTCCAAGCGAATCGTGCGTCATTCAGCCGAGTTCGCCCCATTTCGCCGAGCTGGCTAAAAGCGAACAAAACCTTCCAAGTGGACTGATATCGGTGTTTGTCCAGTTGCACCATAGCGGACGTGCGAGCGGGACTGGCCGTTCCCCCTGCGTGGGGGAGGGTGCAGGTGCAGTCAGCTGTGCACTAGTCACGGTGCACAGCTGGGCGCGGAAGTGGCGCCACCGCGAGCCCTGCGGCTCCGCCCTGCGCCTTACAGACGGCCAGGCGCCGCCGCAGACCTGCCCGCCACCTGGCGGTCCCGACGGGAACTACTCGAGCGGCGGCCCTCGTCGGCGCCGAGCCGGCCGGCAGTAGCTGTTGTGACGCCATCGAGAGGGGACCCGCGAAGCGTGAGCTGCTGAAATACTCCGCCCACCGGCGCAGTGACAGCATTGCGAAGATTCTCCGCATTCCTTAATCGTGACTCAAGTGCTAACTAAGTGCTCGAAGAGCGGCGGACGCACGAGAAGAGAACGCGGGTAGCGTCAAGTGAGATCGTGAGAACGGCTTCGGTTCGGACAGTATCTGTGAGCAATCATGCTGGCCAACCACGCAGTATACAACTTTTCACCGCTGCCGACCTGCGGGCCGGCTAGCCCCAGTCCGCTGGCCGGCCAGGGGCTCAAGCACAAGCTGAAGCGGCGCACATCGGTCGTTTTCGATGTCAAGATGATGGAGGACCACGTCTATGTCGTCGTCGACGATGAGGTGCGTTGTCGGGCGACACAGTTTTGAGGTTTATTTTTCGGCCTTTTATTGAATCATGGGTGTTTTTCGGCATACTTTGCTTGGGTTTTCAGACAATAATTCCCGTCCGAATTCCCAAGTAAAGGAATAATTGTCATGCTGAAAAGCTCACAGTATCACATTATTTCGACGGTGCAGTTACACGTCAGATGTTCCAAGGTCTATGCTCTGCGCACAACGGTGCCGAAATCATTCAATAGCTATTGACTTTCTTTGTTCGCCGACGTAGCGTGTCCACCACCTTCCCGAGGCCTTCGACAGTCTCTCAGACCTCAGACAGGCGGAAGTGTGGGGCCGAACTCCCTTCAGCCCCTGCGGCCTGGTGGACCCACCCGTTGGTCCTAATTTCGGGCTGGCCGGTTTCAAGGCCGCGGTCCCGCCGCCGCTGTGGCTGCTGCCGGCGTCCCACAGACACAGCTGTGGCCATTATTCGCAACTTTCTCAGGTGGTGGCCCAGCCGTGGCTGGGTGCGCTCTCTTTGTGCGGTGGCAGCGCTACAGCGGCTGTTGTAACGCAAGCCGTAATAATATTGGCTTTAGTACGCAGTAGACAGGCCTGCTGCGCTGTGCCATTTCGCGGTGACATCCTTGTTTTATACTCATCCCTCATCATCGAAAGCCAGTTGCTGGGCGTAAAAACTGGCGAAAATATGGATAGAATCGGAAAAGCAGGCAGCAGCTGCGCTAATATCGATTATCTAAAGGCGCTTCTGCGGCTCATTACTGGAACGGATGTTCGCGACCAATTCGTGGACTCGCATAATCGCCCAAAGCACGTTACTTTCCACTCGACCGATTCCTGGACTCCGAGTCCCGGCTATCGACCGTCCGCGGTCCGAGCACTCGACACGTCGACAGACACCCGACCCGTCCACGAGCGGACTCTCCACGGAAACGGGCCCGGGTCACCGATGGAATATTCCACCGGCTCTTGCTGTTTATTTTCCCGCTTGTCACGAGAGTCGTTTTCGCCGCCCCCGCGCGCTCCATCCGGGCGTCATCTCGGCGGTTGGCTGGGCTGTGGTGGAACGTTGTCTGGCCGCCGGCGTGGTTGGGAATGTCGAATGTAAACGTCAGACAAGCTGAGGGTATAATTAACCCGGCCAGCGTCTGCCAACGCCGGCGCGCGTCACTGGCGGCGAACGGCGCCGGTTGGTGGCGGGGAAGATGGGTGGCGGGAGGTCTCGGCAGTCGAGCCAAACCGCGGGATGTAAGACAGCCAAACGCTGGAAAAAGAACAAAGCTGGCGAGGATGTGCCTGGGTAAAACCGTCGATCATGCCGGCACCTCCCGCAGCGGCACGGAAGGGAAAGCTGGCGCTGTGCGCCGCACGGTCTGCGCTGGTGGGCCCGTGCCGTGCCGGGTCGGGAGGTGCGCGATGCAGACCGCTGGGTGAGCTGCACGGCTCAGAACCGGTCCGCCGGAACCGGCTGGCCGACCCGGTCCGGCCCGGTCAGCTGCGGAGCCGGCTGCACCGAGCGGGCGCGCGGTGAATCCTGTTTGGGTTGGAGAGGCCCAGCCGCCAGTGACCGTGACTGCGACCGCTGGCAGTCGACGGTGCGGCAGTGGCGACATCGAGCTGACTCAGACCCGCGGGGTGATGCCCCGTCGGCATCGCGAACTCCATCGACGGAGCCGACGAACGGATACTGATTTCGACACCAGATGCTGCCAAACTGATCAGTTAATAGACACCGAATTCGCATTTCATTTCACCTTCACAATTATGTTCGTTTATCTCAACCCCGGACGCGGAACTTCTACCTTCTGAACGGAAATGAGAGCATGTGCGCGGGGGCAGAAGCTTCCGTCACTTCCTTCACTTCCTTCCGCTGTGGAGATAGCCTATTGAGTCACGTGCTAGGGAGGCTGCTGCGACTTCTCCATGTCTGTCTCGACTTGTGTACGACTCTGTGTGTTCTCTTGATCTCACAAACTTCTCCTCTGTCCACAGGACCTGGTCAAATCGCATCTTCTCCTGGCTGTCCGAGAGGAGGTGGACGTCCTCAAGGCCAACATCACCAAGCTGGTCGACAAGATCAGCGTCCTGGAGCGAGAGAACGAAGTGCTCAAGACGAACGCCTCGCCCGAGGTGCTGGCGAAGCTGGCAGAGCGACCGGCCGCGCCGCCGGCGGCAGGCCAGTCGGCACCAGGTCATCGCGTGGCCTGAGAGGGCCCAGAGGGGGCCGACTGCGGGGTCGTGACCCGCAGTGGCCGTGACCTCGCCACCACCCACCACCCCTGCTAGTCGGCTGTGTGCGAAGAGCGCGGAGCACGACTCCCTACGCGCTGGCCCGAAGAACCTCGAGAGTAAGAAAGGAGAGAAAGATGTCGCGGTGAGAGATTCAGGAGCATGAGAGAGTTACATGAAGGGATTTACGTATCCCTTGGCAATGACGTCCGATGCGAGTTTGCAGGTTATGACGTGTGTGTCGGCCCGCCGCTGCAGGTTCGCCGGCGGGCCGGCTCCACATAGACAGACGCTGTGCGGTACTTGTGATATGTGAGACTGAGAGACGGTTCTATTTATTCCTGTACAGAGGAGTAGCAATACGGACGGCGCGGGTGGAACTCGCGCACGTGTGGGTAGCAGCTCCTGCGGGCACTGCGCCGGGGCAGGTCGCGGACTCGACTGTTGGCGCATCAGTGATTCACACTAAAGAGAGCGAATGAGCCCGATGACTTTTGCTTGTGAGCATGTTTGCACTAGGACCTCAAGTACCTGCATAGTGTCATGTTGGAACAGTTAGTGTTTCAAGTACTGTAGTGTGATGTTGGGACGTGTGTTCCTCGACGTTTGTGACTTCGCCGTGTCTTGACAGCGCTTCAATCATGAGGTCCGAAAGTGGCATGTTCATTGGACTCTTCGCTGTGCAGCATTCATATTCATATTGAGGAACGCGAGGCTGTCGTCTTCATATTGTAAAGCGAAGCGCGTGTATTGTTTTTGTGACAAATAGAAAATACAAGACTGTGTTAATGACAGCTTCTTCGTCTCATGAAAGAGTATTACACAAGAGACTCCGAAATGGACAGACAAAGAGCCATAACTAGTCGAACGACGAACGGTATCACACTTCTATCTCAGACACCAAAAGCAGACGTTACCGAGAGCACCGTACCAGCGATTATGTGTTCGGCATCTTACCTCACATCATGCTTCTGACAGTATAACACAAATAACACGAGCCACACAACGGGCCAACGCATGGCGGACGCATGGCAAAGCTCGTCTGCCAACGTGACGGTATTGCTTACGTGCAAAGGATAAAAAATGTGAGATATAATAAGCGAGTCAACGACGCGAGTGCGTAGTTAGAAACATCCGTCCGCCATTGAATCGAAAATATCGAGGCATACCTATTGGAGGAGCAGATTCATACCTCACACGTCACCCTTCGGAAAAAGTGTGATCCTAACTTGGTTCATCAGCTACCCAAACACCGACACATGCCTTCGTTACTATTTGTTGCCGCCGCGTTGTTGGCAAGCGCGCAAAGTTTGGCCGCCGCGCCACTCTGGTCTGCCAGCCGCCTACAGATACTGCTTGTCAGGTTTGCCGTCAACTTTACGATGAAAGTTCCAACTTTACAAGCCGCTTTGTTCAACTTTAGACGTATTCAGGCGTTAGGATGTTCAGGGAATCCTGAAGCACATGGTTAGTTGACTACAGCTGGAACACTTGCGACTTATTTTGACGTGTGCTGCTGTCTTCCCACTGCACTGGGAAGTGATACACCCACGATGTGCGGGGTCTACCTCTCAGTCTCCGCCTGCACTGAAATCAACTTGAAGTGATTGCACGAACAGCACGTGACGGGCTTATGCACATGCACTATCGCCCAGAAGCAAATCGTAATACGCCTGAGTGGGTGTGCTTTCCGAGCTTTGAACTCATGACGTGCTGATACTGGCACTCGGTGACACGGCAGCGATAAGGAAAATCTGAACAAGGAAACAGCGATTAAGAGTATTGTTGTATCACCGTTATCCAAGCGGTGTGCTGAGCTGACGCCGATAGCGCTGAATATGCTGGGATTATAGGGATAAAGTGATAAATACCACTTTAGAAGCAACTTCGTGACGCCTTCACCTCGCCACGTGCAGCTTCATCCCGGGTGCACTGTCCGTGCTATTGTACTGATCGAAGGTCATGGGGCTCTGTTGTAAGTTACGTAACTCACGTGCTTGTACATACCTACAAAACGAGTAGTAAATTACGCACATATGGGCACCGCTGTAATCCTTATCGCTATTTTCGATTGCTCGAAAAATTAATAAGGAACCTCCAAGTCGGATGTATGACCTGCAGACATTTAGATAGCGAAATAGCGCACACACTGTTTTCGAATGGAGGCGAGGCAGAGCCATTTAGCATTTTAAGTTCAGTTCAGCTCCACTCATCCATGACAGGTTCTACTTGCTTCAAAGAAATAGCGTGACGTGTCGGCTGCCACCACATTAGAAAGACGTAGGCTGCTGCGCCGTTGCATGGCCAGTGTAGCTGGTGCTACCGAAGTACAGAGATGTTTGTGTGTTCTCATTTTTATTGTATAGTTGTTTTTATAATTCTTTTTTTTTTGCTTTAATTCATTTAATTATTTCCTTTTACTTTTTGCTAGGCCCATAAGGTGGCCGGGGAAGACTGTTTATTTTCACCGGAACTGCCTTCAGAATGGCATCTTCCCGCGCCAGTTTTCTGACTGAGTCGGAGCCAAGAACTACCTCGTTAGCACACATCTGGCAAATGGAAAACTCTGCTCAATCAGCCTGATCCTCCCTGATGGCTCGAACAGGTATACCTAAGAAACTAACCCCTCGCTGTTTACATTCCATTCTGTTCAGTGAAGGCTGATTAATTGGACGACGTCCCACCCACATCACGGAAAATACAAACCTCCCCCCCCCCTCCTGCTGTTATTTGTGCGACTGCAACATTTCGGATAACAGTGCAATCACTTGGGGATCTGGCGAGACTCAGCGTGATAAGCTCAGGGGTCAGGAAGGGTTCAGGGGACTGGACTAGACTGGGAATTGGGCTGAAAGCTGGACTGGGAGAGGGCTGAAAGCTGGACTGGGACTAGCTGGGAGTTGGAAGCCGGTTTGATTGGGAGCTGGACTGAAAGCGAAGTTAGGATTGGAAGATTTGCGCTACCTTGGTCAGTTGTTCGACCCCGCTGCCTTCAGCCGTGCGAACGAGGCTCCCATGGCACCAAGTAACGCCACTTCATGTTTATGTGTAAAGTTACCTCAGGCTGGCACGCGACTTCACATCATTTAGTCACCCGACAGACGTTACAGCATATATGTAACTTACATCACTCACACTAGTCAGTCAGCTGAAAGAGGCAGTTGTCGAGTGCGCCATAACGCTGTAGCACGTCCATCTTATCGCATCATTGGCAGGTCACCGACCAGTGGCCATGTTGCGATAGAAAACCGTCTACCGTCTTACCTATATCACAAGCCCGATCTTAGGCTTTGGTAACCCACTTATTTCGCGCAACAAAACACAACTTAAGGTATCGGTATGTGAAGTGAATGACTGCAGAGCAGGCACATAGCACCTACCAGAATGAGATGGTATCCCTGGCAGAGCTCGAGTTTTCTCTGGCTGAGAGCTAGAGCGTGAAATACTAGTTTATTTTGCGTGTTAATCTCAAACGTAAACACGCTCTTCTAAGAGCAGGAAGTCTCACGCACTGACTGCAGGCCAGACAGAAAAGAAAATAATTTTAATTTACTGCAGCTGGACATCAAGGCCTGACGGGACAGCGAAGGGCATCAGGAAGTCGTTCGGTTAATCCGCCATGAGTTTGCGATTAAATAAAAGCACCTCAGCAGGGTGCCCGGGGCCCAACTGTTCAAACAATGCAAACTGCCTATTTGCCTTGAGACAGCCATTAACACCACATAGATGCGACGTTGTGGGAGTGTGGCGTGCAGCATGGGAGCAGACACCACTGACCGTATAGACGATGGTTTCGTCCCATGTCCACCGTAAAATTACGGAAGTAGATTTATCCATCCACGAAGTTAAGTGAAGTTCTGAACTTCTGAGCGTGGACAATCACTGCAAGTCAAAGAGGTGGCAGCGACAATGACAATCTCTATCATCTCAATAAACAATGAGAGCCTTCCTTCACTTCTGAGCGGTTAGTTGGACCTTACTTACGACACACAGGGTTTTAATGTACGATGCATCGCTGCGACATTCGCTTAGATTTGACTTGCTTTTCACTTTTCAGTGTGGGGCGGCGCAATTCGTCCTGCGGTCTATTTTTACTTGTAAACAGAGCGGTTTTGGTTATCAGATCAGTGGCGAATTGGGCCTCCCCCAAACCGGCTTTAAAGGCGTCTGAATGGCGCCCAGATGTCAACAAAAGTGGAATCCAATGGCGGTAATAACGACACACCTCTGCGTCCCATGCCCTTGAAGGTCATCATACTGCGCAGTGCGCACTTTCCGCAGGCACGAGCGGCGCGATGTATCGACTTTATTATTGGGCTGTGTTTGCCCGCGGCCCACGCTGCTCTCGCGAATTCAGAGCTCCAATCGATCCCCGCTCTCGCTCGCGCTTGAGGGATAAACAACTCACTGTACTCAGAACGGCACTGAATTTTGGACGAGTACTGGTGCTAATTCGCCTCTGTTTTCGATCCGCTGCGTCCCTTTGTCCTCAGTGTGACCGGGTCCGGTCACAGTAGTGCGTAGCTCGCGCGCAAGCGGACGCGCTGGCCGGTGAACGCTAGATGATAAAGGTGACCCTACTGGGTACGTCCGGGCGAATCGATAGGCCTTCGCCGGGTGTAGCGGCACACCACTGCTGCGCGTCGTCAGGGGGCGGCCGCTCGCCGAGGGGCGGGGCGCCGCGTCTGGGTGGGCGGGGTCAGCATATAAGAAGCTGTGGGGACGTAACTACCCAATAAGAATCAAGAAAGTTGAGGAAAATTGTGTTCAGGTAGAGGCACTGAAGAGAACAGAGATCAGTGAATCATCGAACAACATTTTGTCGTGATGAAGACGGGGTCAGCTGTGGCGCTAAGAGGCGCGTGACCCGCTCCGTTACAGTTTGGTCTCTGCAGACCCAACCACGTGCTCATTATCATAATCAACAGACCCCAGGGGATGCCTATTGACTACAGCCTGTGATTCCATCTTCAGCGCATAAATTATACAACAGAGACGTGCAGAGACTGAGATGCAGCATGGTGATGCGGGCTGGGCAACAGGCTATCGTTGCATATTCAATTTGCTTTAGCTGCGATTCACATGTCAACAATGCAAATGTCAACAATGATGCACACCTGAGACAACACTCGTGCGGATAGTGCTTGCACGCCTTGAGAGGAAAAATGAATTCCAGCCATTTTCGTACCCTCAGGTATTCAAGCGCAGAGCGACGAGCAATACAGCGTTCCAAGGCTGGTGACAGATTACCTGTTGTGCAAGCATTTGGCTTATTTTATTTCCACGGTGTATATAAATATTTATTTCCTACTGCCTTATGACAGGCGCTTACTGTCAATTGTTACGCTGCCTGAGCAGCCTGAAGTACCTATCTAGTTGAGCCAAAGCAATATAGAGACATGGACCTACCTGTTCGATCATCTTTTCTACATATACCTAGCTACAGAGTAAAGGCTGCTTTTATTTCCAACCCATCAAGCAAAAATATTCCGAGTCCGACTGCAATAGACGGGCACTCTGAAACATTTCCCTTTATTTCGCTCGATTCTTTGACCCTTATCACCACTCGACTGTTCGTGCTATCACAACTAACGTCACAGCTGACGTTAGCGTCATGTCCACCGGAGCGGAGTGACAGACGCGCCGCAGACAGCGCCGTAATTCGCCGCACCGTCAGTGCTGGCCTTCAGACCTGGCCGGTATCGACCCATCGGCCGGGGCGTCGGCCGAGTCGACAGGCAGCCGCTAATGTTCGCCGTTGCTGGGGAGGGGGTACATATGTCCGGGCA